ATAGTGAAAAAAAAAAAAAAAGAACGAAATTATTCTTAGTGCAAAATGATTTGAGTGAAATTGGTGTACAAGCATGTAGATCATTGCATGCGATAATATATAACATCTAAGATCTCTAAGATCTCTAATGATCTAATGATAATCAGTGGGTTTTCTGATTTTCTTCTGTAGAAATCATACGATAATGGCTACGGAAAGGTAATTGCAAGATGCGCATATATATAAAATTAAAATGCATTTTTGTACAAATTTATCTAATCACAAATGTGTATATGTTTAAATTTGTACAAAAAAGGAAGATTTTACTTCTTGGTTCTGGTTTTGTTGCTCGCCCAACAGTCGAATATATTTTACGTCGTCCAGAAAATCTTTTGACTATTGGTAAATTTCATTTGATATTAAAATATTATTAATAACAGTTAAATTCATCTGAAATAGATTTGTATAATTATATTTTCAGCTTGCCGGCGCATATCTCATGCTGAAACTCTTTCTCGATCATTTCCCCGTGCGACACCAATTGCACTTGATGTTACAAATGAAACAGCTCTCGATGCTGCAGTTTCAGAGCATGATTTAATCATCAGGTATGGCTAATTGTGGATATTTACAAGTTGTGATATTTAACCATACAAAATTCTTACAATTAACATTTCTCACTAGTCTTATTCCGTACATACTTCATCCTCTTGTGGTCAAATCTGTCATTAAATTCAAAAAGAATATGATCACAACTAGCTATGTTTCACCTCAAATGAGAGCCTTTGATGCAGAGTAAGCTAATTATTACTGTCACTCGATTTTTGAATGACACTGAATGTGATTTTGAACTTCCTACTTATAGAGCCAAAGAAAATGGGATAACTATCTTGAATGAGATAGGTCTCGACCCTGGTGAGAAATCATCGCAAAATATTTATGAATAATATTATTTATGAATAATATTTACCGTAATTTAATATCTAGATAATTTATATATCCAACATATCAGGTATTGACCATCTTTATGCAGTTAAAACTGTAAATGAAGTTCACGAGGCTGGAGGAAAAGTAAGTTAATATACATAAATGTCATCTTATAATGTTGAATAAGATTTATTTATACATTGTGGTTTTATAGATTGTATCTTTCATTTCTTATTGTGGAGGGCTTCCCGCTCCTGAAGCATCCAATAATCCTCTTGGATACAAATTTAGCTGGTCTTCACGTGGTGTGCTATTAGCATTACGAAACTCCGCTAAATTCTTCCTAAATGGGGAGGTAGGTTGCAAGCAAATTTATAAAATTTCTCCATTAATATAAAGGCTAATCTCTAATTTTGGGATCCTTTTTTCACAAAGATCGTGGAAATACCTGGAACACAACTTATGTTGTCTGCAAAACCTTATTTTATTTATCCAGCATTTGCATTCTGGGCCTATCCAAATAGAGATTCTACGCCTTTTAGAGAGTTTTACAACATTCCCGAAGCTAAAACAGTTTTACGCGGTACCTTGAGATATCAGGTTTATGTTAAGACATTACATTATATGTTATTTTCCTTTATATTATTTACGAACCAAAGATAAATTTGTTTATTTACTT